ATTAGTAATATTAATTAAACTATAATGAATCATATAAATGACTTTAGAGCATCACAAGTATAATATTTAATACAAATCAAAATTTTATATCATTGACATTGGATTTTTTCCCATATAAAAAAGTTTTACATAAATTGTACTATAATTAAGCATTTTTGTGTTTCCAAAGTTTTAAAATATTGTATTGTCACCGGGAATACATGTGCATTAAAAATTTGAGCTCGATTGGAGCAGTAGAAGTGGTCGAAAAATTGATCGCAAGATTTGAAATTTTTTGCAAACAAACAAACAAACAAACAAACAAACAAACAAACAAACAAACAAACAAACAAACAAACAAACAAACAAGAAAGCAAGTTAAGAAAAACGTAGTAAAAATGCTAATATAGATTTAAAATCGATATTTTTTTGAAAATAGCCTACTATGATCAAAACCAAAAATGCTTTAAATTGCATTTCAAAACATATCTATGTATTATAAATGATAAAAAATGCTAATATAGATTTAAAATCGATATTTTTTTGAAAATAGCTTACTATGATCAAAACCAAAAATGCTTTAAATTGCATTTCAAAACATATCTAGGTATTATAAATGATAAAAAATGCTAATATAGATTTAAAATCGATATTTTTTTGAAAATAGCCTACTATGATCAAAACCAAAAATGCTTTAAATTGCATTTCAAAACATATCTAGGTCTTATAAATGATAAAAAATGCTAATATAGATATAAAATCGATATTTTTTTGAAAATAGCCTACTATGATCAAAACCAAAAATGCTTTAAATTGCATTTCAAAACATATCTAGGTCTTATAAATGATAAAGAATGCTAATATAGATATAAAATCGATATTTTTTTGAAAATAGCCTACTATGATCAAAACCAAAAGTGCTTTAAATTGCATTTCAAAACATATCTAGGTTTTATAAATGATAAAAAATGCTAATATGGATATAAAATCGATATTTTTTTGAAAATAGCCTACTATGATCAAAACCAAAAGTGCTTTAAATTGCATTTCAAAAAAAAACTAGGTCTTATAAATGATAAAAAATGCTAATATAGATATAAAATCGATATTTTTTTGAAAATAGCCTACTATGATCAAAACCAAAAATGCTTTAAATTGCATTTCAAAACATATCTAGGTCTTATAAATGATAAAGAATGTTAATATAGATATTAAATCGATATTTTTTTGAAAATAGCCTACTATGATCAAAACCAAAAGTGCTTTAAATTGCATTTCAAAACATATCTAGGTTTTATAAATGATAAAAAATGCTAATATAAATATAAAATCGATATTTTTTTGAAAATAGCCTACTATGATCAAAACCAAAAGTGCTTTAAATTGCATTTCAAAACATATCTAGGTTTTATAAATGATAAAAAATGCTAATATGGATATAAAATCGATATTTTTTTGAAAATAGCCTACTTTAATTGAAACCAAAAATGCTTTAAATTGCAAATCCGGTTTAAAATTAATCAAGATTTCCATAAATATTTCTTATACCAACTTAAAACCAAATAAAATGAAGTTCTTTTAATGGTCGATTATTCTCCTTTTAAATACCTTAAATTTAAGATATCACACGGAAAAAATGGATTTGAAAATTAAAAGATATTACTGATTTAATTTTTAATCCATTGGATTTATTTATAATCCACCAGATTAAACACTATTTTCACTTTATCTTGAGAACTAAGACGATTCACGCATAGCGTTTTAATTTTCGCCCTACTAGACCTTGGTAGTTTTCTATTGATATACATATCAATATGATTGATTTTGAGTGGCGAGCTGTAGGTTGGGTGACAAATTTTAAACCATTTTTGATTTCGTAATGAATATAGGGAGGATTAAAATAAATCCATCGGATTAAAATTTGAAATCGTTATATCTACGTAGGTGTTGATGGAAGTGGGGCATGTTTAGTATTATTGGATAGGTCTTTTAAGGCTATACATCACAAAAAATGTTTAATCTAATAGTTCTCTAAAACAAGTGCACCAGAACAATTTTAATTTAAGCCTCCAAAAAAGCTTGTTTTTTCGCTCTAATGGAACAGGACTTGCACCAAAAAATTATGATTTTGGTATCAATCGATTCCTGAGAAAATGTTAAATATTTAAACTACCAGCTATTTTTTGATTTAAGGCTTTATAAAAAAGTTAAAGCAAATGTAGTGTTTGCAATGAGATTTCGCGAAAATCTTCCATGAAGCACTACGGTCTCAAAAAAAAAGTTCATGCAAAGCGCCATAATTTTCGCCCTACTAGACGACAAGGGCTAAATTTTGACATATAAATCATTACTTTTGGATAATACGGTGGACCTGTAGGTAGGGTGACAAAATTTGAACGACATAAAGAAACACCTTCCGTGTAACACGCGGAAGCTAAAAAATTACTTATAGAACATTAAAAAGCGGTTACGGACTAGTCAAGATGAAGAATATTGCTCAACCCAAGAATGTAATCATATCTATATAAAGTCAAGAGTACATAACACTCAACTAATGGAACCAAAACGAATGTTGGTTCATATTAAAGTCCGAAAATGGGTTAAAATTTATTTTGATTGCTGCGAAGGCAACAATAACTAGACTTCCTTATTGATAGAAATACACGAAAAACTTGAAAAGCACAGAAAGGAATCATGATCGAAAAACGCAACATTGACAAACTATGGAAAGGCATGTGAATAAATTTATGACAAAGTAATGACTTCAGTGGAAACACAAAGGTTCCAAAATTTAAACAATTTGTGATGAAAATGACATTTTTTAACAATTGATCTGACAAAAACTTTTAAGTTCTTTTAACTTTTAAGAACGTCGCAAACAAGGTTAGACAAAGCTTCAAAAAAATTAAAATGCTTTCAAAGACCAGGATTATTATAAACAGGAAGACGCTAATTTAACTCAATTATGACCTAATTACTTTATAAAATAACTATTGAGCTTTACACTGAACAAGAACGTTGCATTCAAAAATTTAATGCATTGGATATTCCCTTGAACCATTGGTGATTGAAGCTTAATGCATATTCACAATGTAAATGGTATAAAAGTAAATAAAGTTTGCAAAATATAAAGGAAATTTTAAAGAGATCGAACGGAAGTTAAGGTTATAGTCTAAGACAATGAAGGTAATTATTGGCTGCAAGTATGACATTTTAAAGAGAGCAGGAGTGTTGAAAAAGCAATGAAGATTTTAATAACTTACAATTAATTCACAGAACTGCTGACATGTGCGATACTCGTCTTGACATAGTCCAAGAGGCAAGCCACGCATGAATTCGTCTTGAAATGTTCCATTCATGGTCTAAAAGGAGTAATAATGAGACACGAATATAATAAAAATAATAATAATAATAATAATTAAATATTTTAAGTGGGATTATAAAGTTAATTTAAGTTTGAAGAAATTAAGGAAGCAAGATTAAGGCACAAAAGATCTGAGGAGAGAGGAAAAAAGTTTTGAATATCAAAAGGTACAACATTAAGATCATAGAGCATCTTATTAAAGAGCAATGGACCTAGATTGCTGCCTTGTATTACGCCATTCAGTATTAGACCTGTAATACCTTTGGCATGTGAAATTATGTCAAACTGGAAGCGATTCATCAGGTAATGAGAAATGAGCTTTTAAGCAATGCCTCTGATTCCCAAGTTTTGAATTTTATTAAGGAATGATTTGTGGCTCATCTTGTTAAATACAAGTTCTACTAAAACCTTACAAATTAACAAGGAATTGTACGGTTCCTATCTGTGCACAGGTGCCTGTATCAAACCCTTAGAAAGAAACTTATTTTAATGTTCATTACAAATTGGAAGTGAAACCATCTTTGAGATCAAATACTTCACAAATCTTGAAAGCAACAATTCAGCAGATGGAAACGCACTGAAGGACGTAAACACGCGAATTCAAAAATCGAGGTCAGCCACAAGTCTACGTTTAAGTTTATTTGATATCGAGATATCAAAGAATAAAATAAAAAGCTTTTTGAAAGTCAGGTCAATAAGACATTAACAAGGAGATGAAGATGAAAAGTTACCACTGAATTGGAAAAATAATTCACAAGAAAAAAATAACAGAGTGCAAGTTTGTTGCAAAATCAAATAAATTCAGATCACTTACCTCAACACAAATGATCATTTGATCACAGTTTTGAAGACTTGTCTTCATTATGCTGAATCAGTTAACGAAAATGTTTCGCTTGATAGACAATCGATGCCACAAAATGGATGCTGAAATTTGCTTGCTGAATTGTTGCTGATGAACAGATCTTCACGATGAAATCTGCTTTAAAAAATGTTGATGATGAAATTTTCTTGTTGACGAAAATTCCTTGATAGAATGTTGTTCCTTAAATCTTGAAACTTGCTGCTGATTAATTTTCGTTGAAGAAAATTTGATGAAAATTTTTTCGATGCACACTCTTCTAAAGAAATTGTTGAATGAAAGAAAACTTTTTTCAAAGCTTGCTGGGACACTTTTCTTCACATTTTTCAATGTGAAAAGTCAAAATTAATTCTTTACTGAATTTCCACGCATTTACTGCTTTAAATCTTTTGTAACGGAAATTCAAATTTTGAAATACATTGTTTTAAAACAATCAGTTAAGCTTTAATTAAAAAAATATTCCACACTGAACGAAAAATACATCAAAATCGCTTGTTGCTGATTAAACATGTATTTTAGGGTAAAAACAGGAAGCAACAAGCGAGTATCAAGCAAGTTAGATGAAATCATAAAAGGAAGGTGAAGAATCGAATTTTGTGATATATTATGTAATTGCTTGCATACAACTGATAATATATTGAGCAACTAAAGAGCAACAGTGGACTAGGTCGACATCTTATCTTGAATTTAAGGAGAATTTAATGAATTTCAACAATGGAATGTTCAATCATCAACCTTCTTAAACTTATTTTATTCAAAATTTATGGATTAATAAGAAAAACTTAATATTTCTAATGCAAGTACAATTGATGATTTACTCATCCAATTAATTCCAAAGCATACAAAAATAATTACTGTAACTTAATAAAATTCCCAATTCATGGATACGTATAAAACTTTATTCAACCTTATTTTTCATAAAAAAAAAATCTCAACTTTAAAATTCTTTTTGCTGCTTTAGAAATGATTTTGTACATCAAGTAACAACAGACTAGCAAGAATCCAATCACATCAAGTGAATTAGATTGTAAAATATTCAAATCAGCACCAGGATAATGCAAATGTGAAGCTCCATTGTGTCTTATTACATATTCTATCCAATAAATTGCCAACGACTTTGCATCTTGTGGCCGATCTTTCTGTAATGCTGACAATCTTTTTGCTGTTGATGTGTAACTGAAGAATGGAAGAGATTTATACTTTAAACTTAAAACTCATTCATTATAAAGCGTACCTTGGATTGCTCAAAACTTCCATAATCATTTTCATCAATTCCTCCTCATTTATGAATTTCAAGTTAACAACTTTTCCCCATCCTTCATTCTCAACCTTCATTGCATTCCCAAATTGATCTCCAAGCAATGGATTAGCAATAATTGGAACTCCATGATATGTAGCTTCAACAACAGATCCGATTCCACAATGTGAAATGAAAAGTCTAATATTTGAATGTGCTAAGATATCATCTTGAGGCAGCCATGAACTGGTAAAAACATTATCTGGTTTATTTTTTAATTTTGATGATCCCCACTTCATGATGACTCGTTGTTCTAGTTTTGAGAAAACATTAAAGATAATTTTCATTGTTTGATTTGAAAAATGTGAGATGTCAACTTTTGATCCAAGGCTGAACAATATTGCACCATCTTTTGCATTATCTAGGAAGTCTTTTATATCCTGAAATAAGATATCACATTAAAAATTAAGCATTAGTTCTTAAACTCATCCTACCTTTGGTAATGGCGATGGCTTAGATTTAACTTGAAGTCCACCAACTTCAATAATATTTGGGAGAAGTGGACGGGGTCCTGATGTACTAAAATGTGAGTTTAACATAAGAAGTGACACATTTTTTAGAGATTCACTGTATGATCTGTATTGAGATGCTGGAAAGTTGTAGCTGAAAATCAATTAACTATGAATTAATTGCTTATCCATAAAATATTACATCCAAGTACTTTACCGGTAAACTTCCTTTCCATAATACTCAAACATATTCTTTAATATAAAATAGTCAAATCCGTATATCCATAAGTTCTTCAATCTTCCTCGAAAATCAAGCTTCACACCTTGTATCATAAAATGATTTGAAGCTGCTAAATCAAATGGATTTCCAGTGATGCGATGTAAACTAGCAATCATGTTGTAAAGGCTAAACATAACTGTTGGACACTTGAAATGATCTCCGAGTCCTAACATGTACTCATTGGTGTAATAACCGAGAATTAATAAGTCATATTTTTCATTTTTCATTAAATTCTTCATTTCTGTCATTTGAAGAGTATTGTTGCCAATTTTACTGTAGATCTTTGATATTTGACTAATAATGCTCAAAAATCCTTGATTTTCTGGATTTGCTGATATTTCGTAAATATAGTCTCTGTCATGTTCGTCATATGGAATTGCAAATTCACGGAGATTAGTGATATTTTTCCACATTGGAAACGCCGATAAAAAAGTAATTTCATGATTTCTTTCCTCAGCTAAGGCTCTTGCAAGCACTTGAAGTGGCAACAGGTGAGATTTTGTTAAAGTTGTATGAATTATTAAAATTTTGGAACTGTCACATTTCTGGAACTGAAAGAACACAAGAAATGAACACAAAACTATCAATAATTTCATTTTCACGTATTGATAGACTTAAACTTACAACTGCACTAAAGATTGACATTTCTTAATACTCTTTATATCTCGAGTTGTTTCTACAAGTAAACAAGAACAGTTTCAGACACAATGACTGAAATATAAATAAATTAGATAAGATTATCAGTCTCCTTTACTAAAGTTCAATAGTTTTATTGTAACTATGAAATGCATCGTCATCGTGATAATAAAGACTTTATGCATGTAATTCATCCTCAATATTAATCTTAATAAATGTGGACGCATTTTTAACTTAATATGCTTTAAACATCAAACATTTTTTCGTTTGATTTAAAAATTAAATCCCCATCTAGTCAACGACTTAACTGACCTTAACAACTTTACAACAAAACCGCATTTAATAAAACTGATAAAAACTGATGAGAAACCAAATTGAACGTAAATTATGATAATTATTGTTTTAAACAAAAACATGCACTTGTGTTTATTTGAATATGATTTATACTTAGACATAGACAATTTATTTTACGTTGATGTAAGCTTCTAAATGAACGGCACATGACATTCAAAAAATTTCATTGAATTTTTTTACTTCAGAGAAATTTTTTTGTTATTCATTCTTATCAATCCACAGAACCTTTAATCGGTTATGTTGAAAAAAATGTTAATGTTTACATTTCTAGTAATATCTTTAACGAAAATTTGTTATCAACATCTGATGTGATAGATATGGAATAGAAATGACACATTTGTATTTGTGAGGTGTGAAATATTTATGGGAAGTTGGATGGAATTGGTTTGTTCGAAAGAAATGCTTGGTTTTTTTGAAAGTTTAAGTGAGTTTAAATTGATTGCTTGAAATTGAGTTCGAAAGACTAGAATGAGCATTAAATGATTCAAGTTTGCTATTGAAGAAATTGTTGTTCAATTGTTTTTGCTGCTTGTCGATTCATATTTAAACTATTCGACCAATTTCACTAAAGTGGATTATCCTCGATTTCGTATTATCCACTTCAGTTTTTGGAAATATCTCCAGACGCTTAAGGTTATTACTAGAGTAGATAAACACTTTTATTCCAGATCTTTAAACTTATTCTAATTCTTTGAACTAAAAAATTTTAAATCTAAAGTCCAAATGAAATTTTGTTAAATCTCAAGAGTTTTGGTTTTAAAAATAAATATCTTTCGAACAAAAAAGTTTAAAATAAAATTCAAGAGTTTTAAATTCAATTTCCATTTTTTCTCGACCGCATAATGGAAAGTTCTCATCAACTATAAACAACGATTCCTCTTTCATAACAACCGAACATTCGCACGACTTTTTCCTCAACATTTAAGTGTGTTAAATTACGAACAATATTCCCGACATCGTATAATTACGAGTCTACTCATTACAATCATATACACTAAGTTGCTAATTCATTTTTTTTTTATTTATCTATATCATATCCTCCTTATCGATATATGCGCTGTAAACGCAATTAAAGTGTTTGTTGAGTATACATTTTCAGTTGTGGTTGAACTCGCGCGACATTCACACACGAAAAAAAAAAAACATTTTCGTTCATTTCCCAAAAAAAAGTGACAAGCAACAACAACAAAAAAATTATTGCACTTAATGACAATTTTAAATATTTATTTCTGAGTTTATACAAATTAGCTATCGCGTAGAAGAATAAATTGTCAATTGATTCAATAAAAATTCAATATTTTTGTGACCTTATCGATTGCTGCTGTATAATGTGATAAGGGTCAATTGTGATGTGAAAATTAAATGACAAAATAAATTAAAAAAGAAATTAGAGGTGCATTAAGGAATAAGTCTAAAGTACAATGTCGGCGTGCCTTAATCAAATTGTATTTCTTTTATCAATCGTATTGATGATAATAAAAATTGCGGCTACAGATGTTTGTGATATTTGTAGCTGCTTCGAATACGAGATAGACACTTATGTGATATCATGTAAAAGTTACAAGAATCATGTTTTAGAAATCGATTTTGAGGAAATTGAGTGGCCACCAAATGAGAATCAAAGCCACATGAAGGCTTTCTTCAATAATTTTCCAGTCAATTTATTGCCCAAGTTCGTATCAAAAATTTGATAAGGCTTCAGGTTACGATATGCTCAATGTCTTATCAATCTTTGTAATTTTTTTTTTGCAGAATTTCGGGTGATTCAAATGTGATTTCAATTAATTTTGATGACAATAATATTCGGACGATTGCGTCTAGTCCATTTGAGCATTTTAATAACTTAGAGGAGATAAGCTTGGCAAATAATCGAATTGCTGATTTAACTAAAGGTGAGAAAGCTTTTCTTTATCTAAGGTAAACTGACAGCAGCTGTTAAAAATTGCAGTTTGTTTTTGAAGTATGAAAGCTGCTGATTGTTTGCTTTGTAGGCTTTGTTGATCTCTAGTACAGTTTATTGACAAAGTAGCGCGATGTACTTCATAAGAGGTATATCAGTCAAGATATTTTCTATAAAATCGTTTACTTAGAGATTAAGTTTTTGACTAGTCTATTATACAAAACCAAGAATTGTCACTTGAGTTCAGTTTGATATATGAAAGACCAGTGATTCTCAAAATATGATCAACGACAAACTATTGTGTCGGCAATTGTATGGCAAACTTATACTAGACGTGTTTTCAAGTTTGAGAACCACTGCATCAAAAAGTTCTTTACTAAACCTTAATTTTTATTTCTATATTCAAACTGAGACGTTTAAACATTGAACTGGATCTTTATGCTACAAACTTCAACATTAAAATTGGGGTTTGCAGTATGTTTCCTAAAGCAATGCCACCATTGCGTTTACCACAACCAGTTGCTGACCATTTAAACAGCATGACCTTGAACAAAATCGTTTGTTTTAAAGCCATAAGATAGATTAAATAGTAAACCACAATTTCAGCACCTAGAGGTTGCTTAAAACTTGTAATTACACCTAATTCACTTTGAAGAGATCAGAAGCATAAAGATTAAGCAAGTAGCCTACCAAAAACCAACTCCAGCTCCAACATTAACTCAAAATTTCAATTAAAGACGTCCATATTTTTCCAATTATGATTGATATCAGTCAAAACAAGTACTTAAAAACTTGATCAGACTATAGTGGACAATCTACAAGTATTACCGATTATTATGGTGCCATTAGTCTTATCAAATACCAATTTATATTGAAATGACTTAACTTAATTTTTCCATTGAATTCATTATTTTTAGACTTCTTAAAATCACAGACGAACCTTAGGCTGCTTAATTTATCAAACAACACGTTATCAGCTATCGATCCCAACATTATTGCACATTTGAACGAGCTACGTGAAATAAATTTGTCACATAATTTCTTAACAAAGATAACAGCTGACTTTTTAGAAGCGACGGAACACGTTGAGGTCATACGATTGGAGAACAACAAGCTTTATGTTATCGATAATGCATTTGACAAAATCAATTATTCGTTGCGAGAGCTGTTTCTCGCCCACAATCACTTCACTGTTATCACGTCGGCAATGTTTGAGAAGCTTACTAATTTGTGAGTCATATTTTAATAGGTTTCATAAAAAAAGAGTTGTTTCATAGTTTTCTAAGAATTGATGTGATAACAATTGGGAATTATTCTGGCTGACATTCAAGCATCATTAAATTATTCGGATTTGATAAAAATTTGAAAAATGTATACATTTATATGCTAAACTCAGAGTTGTTCTAGTACTTTTTTAAACTAGATTTTAGTGGTTTTAGTACTAGATTAATATTGGAAGTATGAACAAATACTAGATTTCAATAGTTTCAGTACCAGATTAATGTAGCAGATTATTGTTAAATTCAATTGAGTACCAGATTGAAGGACTAGGGTTTTGTTAAGGTCTATTTAGGTACCAGATTTCCATTACCAATATTTACATTCTCTCTTATCATTTCAGAGAAGTAATCGACTTATCAGACAACAAAATATTGAACATCGATAATGAAGCTTTCACCAAATTGACTGCTTTAAAGCTTCTCGATCTCTCATTCAACAGTATTAAAAGAATAACAATAAAACTTCCAAACTCCCTCCAATTATTGTCAATCAACAATAATAATCTAAATTCATGGCCTCTATTAAATGTCCCAGAAAACTTGACAGAATTGGAAATTCAAGACAATAGTCTAGACTACTTATTTCCAACAGACAAGAATGTGCCAAGCTTAATAAGGCTAGATGCATCGACCAATTTACTCCATCAGCTTCCAGAGGCACAATTTATAAATTTAGAGTTTCTTAATTTAGGATTTAATTTACTGAAGGCAGTTCCTCACAATATTAATGAAAAAGCACCATTTTTGAAGGAACTAATTCTCGATGGAAATGAAATTTCAGACATTGAATTTACTGAAGCAACAACTTTAGTTTCTATATCACTTTGTAACTTGACGTCACTACACAAAATTAATGCATATGCACTGCAAAACTTATCTGGCAAGAATTTAACGTTTGACCAACTAGAAACGTGTGTTGCAGTAAAAATCGCGTATAATGAGAATCTTGTTGAGATTGAACCCGATGCATTTTATGGCGTACGATTCTGCGACTTAGATTTAAGCTACAATAGTCTTCAGACGATTCCTCAAAACTTGACAAACTGGGAGATGATTGAAAATGGAGTTAATCTACAAGGAAATCCACTTTTATGTTCATGTGAACAGGAATGGATACTTGAGGATATAATGAAGACTTTATATGACAATGAAGATCATCAAGAGCTTCTTCTTGAGCTCAGATGTGAAAATCCAGAAGAGCTTAAAGGAAAAAGACTAGTCCAGTTTCTTAAACACGATGATCCATTTTGTAAAGGCACATATGAAAGCGAGCCAGTTCTCCAATCTGGTATTGGACGATTCCTTCCAAATCTGCTACCAATTAGCGAAGATTCTAGTCAAACAGGAAAGAAAATTGAATTTCATTTAACACCGTGGACGCCTGGATTTATAATTATAGTAACTTTATGTACAATTATTTTAATTTTAATTATTATCGTAGGCGTAAAATGGCAAAGGGATCAAAACCTTAAGTTAGCTAGACGGAATAGACTTTACTATGATGATTACTAATTAGATTTTAATTTTACATTTAAAAAGCTTTATTTTACGATAGGATTAATTGTCACTTATATTGATTAAGAAATAATAAATGCATGAACAAAGATTCTATTGCTGATTAATTAATGTAAAGTTGTATGTGAGCGTTGAAGTTCAGATTGTGAGCTGGTTCCACCACCATTATTGATTCCCATGTAATTCTCAACTCTATTAGTCGTTTCTCTCATCACACCACCGATGTCAGGTATTTCTAGAGGCAAATGTGCTGAAAATCTCTTGTAAATGTTGCTTGAATCTTTACTGGAACTTGTATCTTTTTTCCTCCTTGTCTCTTCATATTTCAGCTGTTGTCTTAAGAATATAGCATTTTTGAGGCTCTCTTGGATGTTCTTTAGTGGCTCATCAGCAGCTTCTATGGATTTTAATGTCTCAACGCTGTACTCAAGATCAAAGCAAATTCCTTGTAAATCATTTCTTAGCTTTTCAACATCTGATCTCTTCTCAATTATAACTGGAACTACTTTCCTAACATTTTCTTGAATTCTATAGAATGCTAAGCTTGGCTCATTAGCCAGAATGTGGATATTCTCTGATATTTTTTCGCTAGCTGAATCATAAAAATTGAAAATTTATTTATTTTGCTTGTTTTTGATGTTTTGTGGATTTACTTACTCTTTTTGACTTTGGCATTCAATGCTGGATCATATGTTTGATTCATTTTTATTCTTAACTCACTGACTGAACTGTAATTAATGATTTTTTAAAAATAAACAAAGAAAGATTTAAATTTTGGACAGTCAGATAAATAATAACTAGAGAAAATAATGCAGCAAACTCTGAGCAGACCGAATCTAGTTCAAAAAGTTGTAACTGCCATTTTCTGAGTTGCACGATTTTGTTTTAAATATAAAGTAAACACAAACAAAATTTGAAAATAGATAAATAATTAAAATAACAATAAGAACTAGATATGAACGCGCCACCGACATTCGAATCATTTTTGCTATATGAGGGAGAGAAGAAGTAAGTGAAATTAAATAATAAATTTATCAAAATACCTTAATTTCCTAATTTTTCAGAATCATCAAAGAATTAGACACAAAAGTACCGAATGCAGCTATTTTCACCGTAAATAAGGAAGACCATACACTCGGGAACATGATTAGAAAGTGAGAATGCAAATTTCCAACAATAATTAATTAAATTGAATAATTTTTATCAACTTCCAGTCAATTGTTGAAAGATCCCAAAGTGCTATTTGCCGGTTATTCCTGCCCACATCCACTGGAACATAAATTTGTAATCCGTATCCAGACAACATCAAATTATACACCTGAAGATGCTTACATGAACGCAATTACGGATCTTATGTCTGAATTGTCACTTTTTGAGGAACGATTCCGAGAAGCAATGAAGGAAAAGAAGGAAGGCGGCGATTAAGCTTATTTGTAATTTAATATATAAACTCTAATAAAGTAAGTGTTTTATATTGTAATAAACTGGAATTAAGAAATAATTTGAATGATCCACTGGATCTTTGCAGCAATAAACAGCCACGATTAATATTGGTAACAATAATTTTATTGTATGATAGGGAAAATGGGCAATTCAAAACATAAATAATTCATGAAAAATTCTCTACCTCTTTTGGTTCTTCAGGTTCTCAAAATATTCAATAGTTAATTTTGTCTAAAAAGTTTCGTCATTATTTGGACATTCCTCTGTCTCATGAGCATCAAATATTTCACATAAGTCACAATACTTTCTTGGTGGTGGCAATTTTCTTTGCTTTTCATCCTTTCGCACTACCGGAGCGTCAAGATCAATATGTGAGCATTGTGTTGGACAATCTTCAGTTTCATGCTGATCAAATTCCTCACAAATGTCACAGTACATGCGTGGTGGTGGCTTCTTCTTCTCGAGAAATGTGAGATCCAAGTCGTTGCTGAAAAATAAAATTAATTATAAACTGAATGAAATTCTTCAGATATCAATGCATACCCAGAAAGTGACGTATGTGCTGATTTGCTAGTTCCAGATCCAAAAGTATCAATTTGTTTGGAAAGCTTTAAATTCTTTTTGTGCATGTCAGCAATGATTGAGTTCAGGAATTCGATATGCTCAATTAAATCTTGATCACCAGCAGCACCCTCGACTTTTGGAACTGGAGCACTTGTATCATTTTGAGTCTCTTCTAGCTGCCTTTTTAATGACTTAATCTCAATTTGATACTCTGTTTCATTCATCTCTAAATCTTTGATTCTTATTAAGAGCTCTTGTTGGATCTTATCATTGTCCTTGGACATGACTGACTCAGTTCGGTATACATTCATTTGACTCTCAATTTGAGACAGCTTGTCTGACATTTCACCAACTTCTTTATGCTTTACATCTTCGATGATTTCAATCTGTTCCATAAGGTCGTCAATCTTCATTTTACTCTCACTTTCAATTTTAGTCTTAATGCTGTAGACATTCTTGAGCTGATCTTCTTTGTCAGCCAAACTAGCTTCATAAGTCTTGAGCTTTAGATTTAATTCACTAACAGTAAAGTCACGTGCTGATATAGCATTATTAAGATCTTCAATAATATTGGTGCTTGATGACTTTTCCATGTTCACTGTATTAAGGCACGATTTAAGATTTTCTATGTTATTTCTCAAATCAGCAAGCAACTCGTCCTTGGATGCACACTCGTTAGCCATTTTTGTTATTTCATCGTCCTTCGACTTAACTTGTCTTAAAATACCGTCAATCTCGTCCAAAAGTTTGTCCTTCTCTTCCTTTATTTGCTCATTGAGGATTTTAATGTCACCCTCACGTTGCTGCAACCGTTTGATCACTTCTTCTTTCTCAAAGTCCTTTTTAGCAATTGCTTGATTAAGTTCATTGAGTCTTTCCTGCATGTCAAATATCTTTGTGTCTGATTCGGTTTTTAAGATCTCAGATTCTTTCTTTTCTAGCTTCAATTTTTCATCTAAACTAGTGCGTCTCTGTCGTAATTCACAAATCTGTTCTTCAAGCTGTGCTGCTTTGTCTTTGTACTCTTCCTTGCGAGTAACTAAATCGACTTGCTCTTCTTGGACTTCCTGTAGCTTCCTATTCAAGTCTTCAATGCTTTCTTCAAGCTTCTTTTTTGATGAAATCTCATTTTGGATTTGATTGCTCATATCTAGGAGCTTTTGTTCATACTGAATATTCTTCTGCTGAATTTCATCGAGGAACTTGATCTTTTCAGCTTGTCCAGCTGTTGAAGCAGTGAATAATTCTTTCTGTGCCTGCAAATCGCCTTCCAAATGAGTAATTCTCGTCTTCTCAAGATACAATTTTTGTTCATATTCATTCTTAAGGATTGTCTTTGATGCTTCGAGTTCTTCAAACTTCGCTTTAAGCACGTCACTTGATTCTCTTTCCTTTGCTAATTCTTCGGCAAGTTCAGCTTCTTTGCCTTTAAGTTCATCAATTGCACCACCAAGACGTGATTCTGATTGCTTAATTGAAAGTTTGGATTGTTCTAAATTCTTTTGTGTTTCCTCAAGTGTTTCCTTAAGACCATTGATCTTTGCCTCTAGCTCATTCTTTAATTTTTCAGACGCTTCAATAGCTTCTAGCCTTTCACGTTTTAACTGAGCCTTCTCATTCTCAAATATTCCTTTCATGCTGGTAATTTCTTTTTGAAGATCTGACGTTTTTTCTTGGTTCGTTGCCTTAATGCTGTGCAAATCTTGATTAAGTTGATTCTCATTCTCGATTTTCTGTTGATTCAAGATTGCCAATTCATTCTTCAATTTTACATTGCTTGTATTAGCCTGATCTCGTTGGTTCTCTAATCGATCAATTGTCTTTTGAAGCTCAAGGTTCTTCTTATCAGCTTCATTTCTGTAAGCTTCGAAAGCAGCATGATTTTCCTTTAATTCATCACTCATATTCTTCAATTCACTGCTGGTATCAAGCGATGAGCTTTTTGACTTTTCAAGTTCCTTCTCTAATTTAAGCTTTTGTTCGTTCAACTGAGCTACTTTCTCTTCTTGAGCACCGAGCTTCCTATTCAGATCTTTATTGTCAACATCAGCAGCATTCTTATCATCTTGAAGCTTTCTGACTGTTAATTCAGCTTCTTGGAGTTTCTTTTGAGTATCATTGAATGCAGTTTGGAGCTTTTCAAGTTGTGATGCCTGAAAAATTTAGATAAAATTGGGGTTGGGTCAAAAGTCAGTAAAATCTTAGTTAAAAACTGGATGAAACAAAGAAAATCTCCTTTCTAGCCACATATACTTCCAGTTAAACAACATTACCCCAAAACTTACCTTTTCACTATCTTCTCGTTCTACTTTAGTCAATTTGGTAGATGATTCCAAAAACTTAACCTCCAATTCTGTCAAATTCTTTTCCAATTTCTGCTTGGTCTCATCCAATAGTCCAGAATTCTTTTCCATAACCTCAATTCGAGCGTCCTTCTCTTTGCCAAGCTTCTTTAGTTCTTCAATGCAGGCTGAAAGTTTAGCAACTTCTGATGCATGATTTTCATTGATCTTAGTGACATTATCGTTAGCTGATTTAGCATTTTCTTCAAGCTTAATTTCGAGTGTCTTCTTCAATTCTTCAAGCTGATTGATTTCAGTTTGACTACGTGTGTTCAACTCATTGAAGTCTTTTGTTAATTTATCAATGATCGAGTCTTTTTCTTGAATGAAATTCATTCTACTTTCTGCTTCAGAGCTCAAACCAGTCAAATTGTTCCTGATTTCATCCAATTCCTTTGTTAATTTTTGGATGGATTCATCGCGTTCTTGCAATTCAATGTCTTTGGCAGTGAGATCATTTTCGAGTTTTACTTTAGACTCGGACAAGTCAGAAACTGTGGATGTTAAAGTCTTTTCTGATGCTTGAGATATTAAGACCAGTTCCTGTGATGTATCAATAGATTTCTTAAGATTTTCAATGTTAGATTTCAAGGATTCAATGCTGTGGTTCTGTGCTTCAATTTGTTTAGTAAGTTCTAATATTAAAGCTGATTTTTCCTCGATTTCCTTAACATGCTGCTCACATTTGTTGCTTGATTGTTCAACATTGGATTTGAGTGACTCAAATGACTTTTCAAGACCCTCAATTTCTTTTTCTCTATTCGATACTTCATCATTCTTCGTCACTAAGTCAGACTTTAGTTCATTAATTTGTCCTTCTTGGAAATTTAATTTCTCAATTAATTTTTGAATCTCATTATCTTTAGTCTTAATAATCTCTTGAGCACCAATATCTGAACTTGTCAGTCTTGCAATATCGTCTTTGAGTTGAGCAATTTCCGTGTCCTTTTCGGATATCTTTTGAATTAAGGACTCCTCATTCGATGTCAAGTTTGCGACTCGTTCCTTCATTTGATTCTCAATCATTGTCAATTCTTCATTTCGTGATGCTTCAAGTGTCTTCATTTTGTCTTGTAAGCTTACTATGTCCTTTGTTTTAGCCTCAGACTCATTTTCGAGTTCATTTATACGAGTTTGTAAATAATTACATTCATTCTTAAGACATTCTTCACTTGCCAGGTCCGCGGATGATTTTAGATCTAAGTCAACCTTCATTTCAGCGATTTGCTCGTGAAGTGATTGAATTTGTTTCTGTAAAACATCCTTAAGGCCTTCACTAATTTGGTAATTCTTTGTAACTTCCTCAAGATTTGTTTTGAGCTGTGCAATCTCAGCGTCGTGTGATGTATCGACTGTTTGTTCGGAATTTTAAAGGTTGAATTAGGGATTGTTGAGATAACAAAATTAAGACTTACCAAAGTCACCAGCTGCATGTTGATTATTGTTCTTTAATTCTTCTAAATGTACTATCTTCTTCTTTAAGACACTCTGGAAATTGAAAAGTAAATTAGTGACTTCCAATAAAATAAAAAGTTACAAGATACATGCAGAACAGAACAAATGAAGTTTACTAATTTGGTTATATTAAGTTATCCTAAGTGATTCTCAAAGTTTCAATCCCATAATAAAGCTTTGTGGTCATTTTAGTGAAATTCTATATCTACAAACCAGAGAGCAAAGCTGAATAAGATTTTAGATGCTGTCAAATTGATTTAAATTGATTAATCCAAACAAATTCCTTAATCAGCTTTGCCTTCTACTACAAACATGCAACAATAGATAGGAAGTGTACAAAAAAAACTTACTTCAGTTGTATCACTTAACTGAAGATGATAGATGATAAATTTAAAGAGAAACATTAGTGACAGAAAAGAAAGAAAAGGGAAGAAAAAAATCAAAAATTTCATGTCTATTTAGCATACCTCTTTCTCGTCTGATGTAGCTTGTGCTTCATCAATTGAGAACTGAAGATCTTCTGACCTCTTTCTTTCTTCATCGAAGAGCTTTTGCAGGTGGGCAATCTTTTCTTTATACTGTGGATCATTAAAAATTCATTTTATTATTTTTAAAATCTTAAACTAATGAAAGTTCTCAATAATCAAGGCGTGTTTGCACCGAGATTAATTCCGAAATAAATTCCAGCATTTCTTGACATAACATATCAATTAAAGTACAAGTTTCTAGAAGGATTCAAAATATCATGTCAACTGCTGAGATTCTTTGGGATTAATTTAAAATGAAATAAAATAAATTTCATAAAAAAATAAAAAAAAAATTAAAAGCTTTTAAAAAAGAGTCAATAACAAGTTGATACACGCCTGTGTTTGTATTAAGTTTTATAGTGCTAGAAACATATGAATAGTCACGGAGCTATAGCTATGAAAATAAATAAAGCTTATTGTATTTTTTTAGAGCTTTAATTAACAGCTTTTTGAAAATATAATCTCACAATGTTGCTAGTTTTTACTCGATTCTGTCTGGAGGTGTTGTTATGTCACGCTCATATGATTTTTGATGCTTTTGAGAGATTCAATATTTTTGGTAGGATAGGTCAGTTTTATGATGAACTTGATTCGAGAAAGTTTTAACTTTTAGAGATATTTATCGAGAATAAAGGAACAGTAAAATATTTGAACAGAATTTATGTCCGGATCAGATAAGATGATAAGGTAGAAAAAAGGATCTTTAAGATAAAAAAATTGTAAATTCACAAAAAGGTTAAAACCCAAAAAATTCAAAAAAAGATTATTCTTAAGACTAATACGAAGATAAAGCTAGAAAAAGCTGATTTGTAATCAATCAATAGCACAAGTCGTGGCATAATGCTGGCTTCGATTCAAATCTAGCACCATTTCAATATCACACCGTCTTGTTACCGGATTTCTGATAGATCAACCGACTTGTGCCATTCGAAGAAGTCAACATATAATATTTATTATATCTGTCACACTAATTCAACCCCAACCCTGTTTGTTACATGATGGACGTAATGACTGAATGACTCTTGCCCACGAAAAGATATTCTGTTCAACTATTTCAAAAATACTAAGGATATAAAGTTTATTTCTTTGAATAATAAATTCAAACTTCACGCCGAAGCCAACAACATCACATACAGACAGAATACGAATCAATCCTCGTCTCAATAATAATCTGAAATCAATAAATTTCTAATTTCTATTAACATAAAAAATCTTTATTTTATTTCTCACAATTAGCGTTTTTTTAAACATATTAATGCCTTAATTCACATTACAAATCTACTGACTATGAATTCAAAAATAAAATTTTGTTTTAGCCGAAAATTCATTTCACAATTTTTCTCAATTTTATCAAAAAACTATCGATTGAAAATTTATGAAATTTCTTTATTTTTTAATTAAGTTTTTCATCTCAATGGATTGTGAAATTTTCTTAAATTTTGATAACCAAAATTTCCAAGAAATAAAAATGATTATTCATTTGAGGAAAATTAATGGTTAATAAGTGTTCAAAGTATATGTCTTGTCAGAATGGTAATCCATAAATATTATTTGTGAATGACGTCTGGCGAAGGTTTTTTAACAAGGGTGCGGAACTGATCAAAATGATCAAATATGATCAAAATAAATCAAATTCAATTTATCAGTTCCGCACCTTTGGTTTTTAGGGCAAGTGCAATATCCTAGAACCAACCTATTCAGCAATAGTTATGGAAGTTAAGTAACGCTGAGTTTAAGCATTCCGAGTAAGTTTTAAAACCTAATTCAAGATTCCTTAATCCTCAAAATTTTAGATCTAAGGTTGGTAACTGCTCAAAACATTAGTAAAGATTTAACTCTTCGTAAGTTTAAGACTTTAAGGAAGCATAAACTCCAATTATTAATAATAAACGTCACTTATGAACAAACCCATAGAAAAGATCCATTAAACTTTATAGACACCTTGTTAATAAGTAAAGAAATCCTAAATCATAAAGTCAGTAATAGCCTTAGACTGATAATGTTAATAATATGTTAGAAATAAAATAAAATGCATTGGACGAAGCTGTAAAAAATTAAAAAATTCTCTTCCGCAAAACTTTTTTATTAATAATCAAAAAAAAAAAACATCCTTAAAATCTATTCGAGCTTATTAATAGGAATTAAATCAAATCGCAAATATTAGTCAATGTACGTTCGGTCCATTAATTAATTAACAACAATAACATTGCTTATGTCAAGAAGACGTCATGAAGAATGCAATGTCGTTCATGATTGCCTGTCCAGCCATTGAACTCTCGCTTTAAATCCTCAAGCACAATTCTTTGTTTAATATAGTCAGCCCACCGACCAATCTGTTCACCTTCAGGGGATGGACTCTTTTTTGTAAATACCGGAGACTGAATTCTCTCAGGCGATATAGACTTAATACAAACACAGACAAGTTTTATCAACATCTACAATAAATTCTAAAAAAATAACAAGAATGGAGTCAAAATTTACCTGATTAAGATTTTTCTGGTATAAAATTGTCTGTGCAGACATTTCTTCTCGATCGATATCACGCTCTTTCATGATCTGTTCGATATGATTTGACTTTTCTCGTAATATGTCCTGTTGAAGAAGGTTAAATTGTTGAGGTTAAGTTATGAAATTAAAGATTTTTAACAGTGGGAACTGCTGAGATTCATTGAAATGATTGGAAAGATGAACAAAATGAGAATTTAGGATGAAATTTGATTATATTTAAGACAATTTATCAAAAATACTAAGTTTCAAGCTGTTGCTGGTTTATAAAATTTTGCTTATTTTTGGGACTTGTTGGAAAGTTCCTTAAAAATGTGTTCAAAGGTTTACTTCAAAATTAGCTTGAAGTAAGACCTAATTTTAGTTTTGTCGAGATTGTAGTGGAACAAAACCTTGATTTCCTATCAATTTGTGTTTTATAAAATCTCAGAAAATGTCTTTTCATGTCAATTGACTGATTAAGCAAGTAAACGCTAGAATTTTACATCTTTAACGATTTTTGTTCATCAATAATAACTTAATTCCTATCCAACCATCTCAACAATCTCAAAAGAACATGAACAAACACAACTCAATCAGGCAACTCAAAATTTCTTTACATCTCATACAACAACCAACCAATACATTCATCAACCACGCCAAAATTAATCAAAACTGAATTAATTAATTTCCCCTGCTCCAATTAAATCACAACAAATTAGCTCAGGAGAGAAAAAAAAAATCTATTCCACTCGACAGAAAAAAAAAGCTCAGATCACAAAATTAAATTCACCACAGAACTCAGATCAGCTCACAAAAAAAAAGCTACAGTCATTGTCTCAGCAATTTATGCGGCGCTACAATATAATAAAAATCACCTCGATTTCCATAATCTACCATTTGAGCGAGAAAATATTGTTTTTAATTAGGCTGAACTAAGCAAAATAGACGAAACGACAACAAACACGTTATTGGAAATGATCAAGTATGTGGAGAGAATTTAATGGGAAAATAAAAACTTATTGGAGACATAAAACAGCAGCAGCAACGCCTACCAAATTATTTTATCTGATATTAATGAAGAAATCTTGTAGTTTTAAGCAAGACCATTAAGTTTGTGAAGATGATCTTTCGACTAGAATGTTTAATACATTCTATAAATTACAATCAAAAGTGCATTAAACACACCCACATCCCAGAATAATAAAACTGAATTTCTGAACCAACCGCAGCGAACAATGATTAATCAGTCATGTGCAATTCACGTCATACTTATTCTGCTTATTCTTAAATTATTACAAATAACATTCATTCGAGCAAGTCAATATATTGAACTTATTTAATGATGATGATGGGAATGATGAGGTTGCAGATCTGAATGGGAACACAGAATATTTGATAGGAGATTGGAATTCGCTGTTGAGTTGGTTTTAGCGCATTTTTCAGTATAAGTGAATTTTAAGGGCTAACCTAACCTCTCTTAATGATTGATAACTTCAAATAAAGTAAGGTCAAAGCAATACATTCAATATAAGTAAGTTGATTGAAATTTTAAAAGTTCTGGACCTGAATAACTAATTAGCAGATCTGACATTTAGACAATCGGACACATTACAAATTAGGTCCCATTCACTAAATGAAATCCGCAAAAAAGATCAACTGTTTCCATTCACCATAAATTCAAAAGAGACTCAACAGCGCGAAGCAAATCGAAGTCATAAAAAAAAACAATTGTGAAAATAAAAATGTGCCAATAATCATCAATCCACAAAGAGGAAATACTTTTGTCAGACATATTTCTTTGTGAAAAGATCAAGTCAAAAGGTGGCTCAATGAATTTTAACCTTGAACTTGAGACACATCAAAAAAAAGCTTTTTGTGGAGGTGAAGTTATGTATTTAAAGTCACATAAAAGGCATTACGATGTCAATGTTGTAATACCTTTTATATGAGACAGTTATGGAAGTGAGATTTCAGCATGATATACTTTAAATTATAATCTACAATGATCGAATGGAGATCGCAAGTATGTACATACACAGAAATTGTATTATTGAAAATTTATTATATAAAAAAATAAGCACAAAAAATCTGATATTTATGAAAAAAAACTTCATTTGTGTATGTCAGTAACGTTAGTTGTTTTTTAGTAGAGAAAAAATGTAGGTTTAGGAATTTTGAGGTTACTTTAAGGTTAGGTTCATACATTTTTTGAGATTTTTGATGAATCTACCCTTAAAATGAATAAACCTACCTAGTATACCAGAATATAACCCCAAAACTTCCAAAACCTCTCAACTATGACTATAGCAAATTATCCATCAAAAACAATAAAGTCATCAACACTCAAAATTATTCATTCACTCAAATCAATCGAATCGAGCAGTTCAAGAGTAAATGAAATAAAAAATTGTGTATCTATAATCTACCTGCAACGAAAACGAAGGCTTTGGTGTTGACGTTGCCGATGGAAGCTTATTAAGTGTCGAGAGACGCTATAAAAAAATTATTGGGAATTTGTTCAAAATTAATTAATAATCAGTCTTGTTAGTAAATTAAAAATCTATAAAGCTATAAATATATAAAGGGGATATAAAAAAAATCGCAGATAAGAGATACTCAAGCGACTGGTACCTTCTGTGTTGCATTCATTCTTAGTTTTGATGCAGTTGTTGATGCCAAACTGTTTAATGTAATATTTGATGCAAGTGATTCTGAAGAGTTTTGTCTTGACAGACGCATTCTACGCGCCAATGGTGATATTACGACTTTTGATGATGGTACGAAGATGCCGTGACCGGCTGGGCAATTGAAATATCTGTAAATAAAACTTAGATTTGTAGAAACTAAATCAGACCTCAAAATGTCATTCAAATCCAACCTGACTCCATTGACAGATCCATCATTCTTTCCACCAGCATCTTCAAATTCAACACCGCACCAATCACCCGAGGCAAATTGTGTTTCACCTCTAAAGCGTAAAATTCCAACACGACTGCCTGATGCATTCTTGACAATTACACGATCACCAATTTCAGGACTTGTGCCTAAAAATGCAATTCCGAAATTAATCAAAATATTCCAAAAATATTCTCATTAATTTAACAACTTGATCCAACTGGTTTAGATGTACTGGTAACACTATGTGTTGGGGATGTATTCCCAGATGATGTACGTAAAGGTGATGTGACTGAACGAAAACTAAAGTCCATACTATCTGTGACTGTTGAGCCTATTGGCTCGCGTGTAAGTCGTGTGAGACGTGAAAAAATACCCTTTTTGGGTTCGCATTGGAAATAACGCTTTCCACTAACTGCTCCATCGTTCTTGCCTAAAATTAACCTCAACATTAAGCTATGATTTAGGTTTATAGATATAAAAAAGATTCGCTAACCTTCTGCATCATCTAATACTATTCCAGCCCATTCACCCGGTGCGAAATGAACTTCGCCTATGAATGTTATACGACCTGACTTTATGCCACCAACATAAACACGCTGACCGATCATAAAACTGTCGGTATCTGTTGTCAAATCGCCTCCGTGATCTGTAAAATTATTTTCAATTTTTTTCTATGATTTCAATCGTAATTTATTGTATGGGGAATTAGGAAATAGTTTCAATATCTTATCATGTTTGTATGTATGTTTATGTTATGTTTACCGACTTCCAATTAATACCAAGGTGATTATCAATTGCCATAAAGCTACCATTTAATCATAATTTGTGTCATTTCATGATGACTTGAAAGTTTGCCGTCAAAACATTCACACGAAATGGAATGACTGTTAATTTGCATTATAATGAACAATCTCACTTCGTCTCATCACATTCATACACAATAGATGGTTCCGTTAATATGAACACAGACACCGAATAGCAGACACAAAATAAAATATTATTATTATTTATTTATTGATACAATTAAGTCTAGGATTAAAATTCCATAATGAAGTATGATCGATTTCTTTTTTTTTTTACCATTTTAGCGACGTCTGATGTTATTTTTTGGAGTGTTTTTATTAGACGATGAATTAAGAGTTGTTCAGGTTTTAATAGAAACAAATTATTTTAAATGAAAATTTAGGTTAAGATCTTTTGGGGTGTTTTTAAATTCCTTCACATTGTCTTTGAGTTGAAAGCTCAACCTGATTGGCAAATTACAAAGGAAAGTTGCAAAAGATTGACACCAGGCTAACGTGAAGATAGTGTGGACCATATTGGATTCAATGTGGCTCGTGAAACTAGTGTTAAGTCTGAATAGATGTTATCTGCTTGCACACTAGTCTCACGCTAGCTTAGTGACAATATTTTGGAATCAGTGTATTATTTGGGGCAATGCCAGATGAACGAGAGCTAGATACAAGCGCATTAGCAGAGGTAAAGTCGGATTAGACAGAGCAAAACCCTAAATATAAGAAAAATTTGATTAGGAACGGAATGTCATTGCTAGCACCTTTTCAAGGCAGTTAAATTTATATTTAAATGGTTTTAGTAATTTTTAGTGGAATCGCTTTAGTTTATACAAAATTAGCAGCTCTAGCCAACTTGTTGATTTTGTCAATTTTTAAATGTCAATTAATCATCGATCGAACACAATCGACAACGCTTATTGCGAATTAATATTATTAATTAAGCTAAGATCAATTTAAAATGATGTTTATAGTCATCCAAATGTATTCACATGACTTTTAAGTATTAGCGATGGCGATTTAGATAACTTTTTGAGAATTACCATGTTAAGCACTTGTTTAGATTATCAGATTAATGCTACAATAGGATTACAAGCATGCGTATGTCAACAAAAATAAATTTTGAGAGTGCTTAAAATTTTGATATTTTACCTGAACTTGATCGTCTGCCTGTGGCTTCAAAGAAATCAGGCGACATGGATGAGACACCACCTGAATTGTGCAATTCAAGTTACAAATCAAAAAACAACCAACAAACACAATAACAAACAATGCAATTTATATGGTAATTTTTTTTAGCAAAAGATAAATTTGTATAATAATAATTTTTTTTACGATCCGTGCATGGTACAGTGTGCATATTTATGTATATGTATATGGGGGATATATGAAATTAAATAATAATAAGATAAAATAATAAGAAAAAATCTACAGTAAAAATAAGAAAAAGTACAGATGGAAAAGAACTACAATGATACCCACTTGAGCTTTTACGATCGGGCGAGGAATACTTGAGGAATCTAAATGAATCAGGTGATCGTGATTTTGATGAACGATATTCATATCCACATCCAAAACGTTCAGTAATCAAATCATATTCGCTTTCTTCACTTACATCTAGACTCACACGACATAAAATATACATTTACAAAATAAATCATTTTAAAATGTCTCCAAAATACAATACAATAAAGGCAAGCATGCAAATGAGCATAAAATTTTTCAAAAAGCCCACATAAAATTATACATGCTTAATGATGATTTTCTTGCTACCAAACTACGTGTGTCTTATGGTAAAAGTGTGCAAAAGATTAAATGAGAGAGAAAGAAAAAAAAACTCGTTCCGTGGACGTAGGTGTCTTAATTGCTATAAGTCATGAGAAACTTTATGATATGTGGCTCAACAGAGCTTATTTATTTTTTTGCTGTAATGCAAATCATATTATTAGCTGACTACATGAGCGTTTCAAGATTAAATTCAATAACTTTTAATATACTCGATTTAACATGAGCATTTATCAAGTGCTAATAGTTTAATCTATAACTGTCATTTGATATTGCAATTTTATAACTTTGTTAATGGAAATTTTTATTTATTTAAATGTGAAATCTTTGATCTTTATTTACAGAGTATTATAAGTAATTTTGTTTGAATTAGAATTAAAGAATTCGTAATAAGAGGTTTGGTAAGGCTGATAATCAAGCGATTACTTCTATTCGTACATTAAAAGGAGCTCAACCTAGTTATAAGGATCAATTTGGAACCAAACCCTTTCTGGTGTGTCCAATTGAGATTATTACTATTAAGCTACGATCTGAACTTTAGTAGATCCACTTCACAGAGGAGAAGGACATTTCTATCAGACTTACACTATAGACACCACTAAATCTCAATACTAAGAGTATTAAGAGATTTAAAATAATAAATTGCTAATAATTTTCTCATTTCTATGTAAAATTACACCAATAATCCCTCTTGTCTTTGAGATCTTCATTAGTTTCTACAAAAATCTAGTTCAATATTGCCATAAATTCATATCAACCTCAAAATAAACCATAATTTTAATTCAAGCTCTTCAAATCCCGTTATTTATTTACATCATTACACAGAAAATAAATTCCTGCATGATTTTCACTTTAAAACTCATTTCTTCAACACGAGACGATCAAAAGTTGTAAAATTGCAATAAATAAGCAGCACAAACCACTGTTTTCATCTTATGGACATTTTTATTAGGTTTATAATTCAATTTTTTATTAACAAAATCATCTCTCACAAATGGAAATCATCAATGTCCATTATTGACTATTTAAACGCGCGTGCATGCTCAAAAATGACGCCTTTACTGAGAATTAATATTCAAAAATGATATTAGCCACAACAAAACGATTCAAAGAAGAACTATTGTGTGTGCAATTTTAGGGGGGTTCTGCCTAAATGAGGTCATAATACAGTGTAATCAGAAATCGCCAAAAAAGGCGGTAAATCGTCTCTTTGCTAGGCAATTGAGTACTCTTTAGAGTCACATTCTCCTCCAAAACCTGATACCAGCTTAAAAAATTTAATTACTCAATAAACATCATGTATGCACAGCCCCTAAACGATTCGCAATAATTTCATATTAAAGTGATCACTTTTGTGTGGTCTGTGAGCTCAAATAGCTGCTCATCTATTGACAAAAGATGATAAAATCAATTTTAAATTACGGACGTCTTTTCTATCTCACTCATTCTTATTTTGCACACGAAAATTTCAATATTTTCCAAATAAAAATTACAACTATTTATAACTGATTCCCAGCTGATTACCTGGCAAGTGATGTGTTTCGCTTTGTCGTCGCATTTTATCGTTGCTATTGAGTTCACCTGGAATTTTTATTTATTGTTTTTTAGGTTAAGACACTAATTATTTTAATAGAGAAAGCAGTAACCATTCTACATTCATAACTAATTCCATTACAAAACCGTAAAACCATTCACTTCATTACATATCCAAAAAAATAAATTACATAAAAATTTAATACTAAGTCATGTAAATACGGAAGATATTTTTGATAGTAAATTGAATTTATTTTTTTGTAGCACATGCTTGAATATTTTTCTTTTGTGGCTGCTTAATTATTCGAATGGAAATAACAAAAAGGTATTAACATATTGCTAATGTTTGTCAACAAAAAAGAAGTTCAATAAACTTTGCTGCGGTAATTCTTCTTTATTTTCCAATAATTAGTATCGTTTCTTTTTGTTCTATGTCTTAAGAGATATCCAACAATTATAAATTGCGTGGTATTTCTATTCTTAAATAAATTCCGAGATATTAATTTTAATTTATTGTACATACTATAAAGGTGTTATTTATAGCCACAACATAATAATAATACTGAGGAAGACTTAATTGATCTTCAGATGATTTACAGGAAGCTCTAAAGTGCACTATAGGTGGCTATCATATTAATATTTTATTTTATGAAAATCATTTTGTCTCTATTATGCTGACAAGTTATAAGATTTCGAGGTTATTAAAGTGATTTGAGCGCGCTTTGAGAAAATAAAAGTTTTTTTGTGATTTATATATTTTTTTTTTGTTATGAAACTTAGTTCTAAACCCTAGCAGCAATTTGCAAATACCCCAGATTTGGAAAATTTGGCTACATCTATGGCTCTGATCAGCATTGCATCTAGTTTTGATTCAGAAGCTTCCAATTTGGTTCTCACCAAAATTTCAAATTTAAAGCATTTTCTTCGTCAATGTCGTTTAAATCTTCAATAAAATGGATTCTTTGTTACCAAAGTATCAAAATATTCATCAAACCAAAATCAACTTTTTAAACTTTCCTCTTCCAAAAATTTCATTTTTTTTCATATTTCAATAATAATGACAATAATGTCATTCTTTATTGTAGAGACTGAATTAATTGAAATTGATATCTTGATCATGAAGTTTATAAACTAAATAGACCAACAAGACAAACTGAAATCATGAACCCCACATTTTCTAGTATTAATCTACTCAAAAGCTCTTTTAATTAATTGAGAAGATCTCCAAATCTACCTCCATTTAATGACATTCAAAAAAATATTATCCATTAAAAACATTTTGACTCTTTTAATGTATATCATCTTAAACAATTAACTGTCATATCGCCTGATGTTTCCTGTTTTGAAAAGAAACCACGGCAACAACATCCAACGCAATAAAGAATTGTCATTTTAATTAGTAGCCTTTTATTATCTTTTGCACACGCATATCTACCGAAAAGGAATTTTTTTGAAAGGGCTTAACTGAACTTTAAAAGACAAAATAACTATCAAAATTTTTAACAATAATATCTAAATGTCAGTCAATGGAATTTGA